AGAGTTTTATTTTAATTGGTTTATAGATAAAGGTTTGCCCATAAATTTAAACTGCTAAAGTTAATCAAAGGTACATTTTAATTCATGTGACCTGAATCTCTGTATCATATGTTTTAAATTTGTTGGTAGAAAGAAACTAAAAACATTTTATATGCTTGTGCATGAATTTGCTGGTTAAACAAGCTATACCATGTTAGATATTTAAGAGATGTTTCTAAATACTTGTAGTCTTAAAATTTATAGAAGGCATTGGACCTTCTGGTAAATGTTTTCTTAAGTTGTTATCTAATGGTTGAAACTGTTGCTAAGTTTTCATTTGATATTGCTATTGTCAGTAAGCGATATGGGACTGGCTCCCTCATTTCTCTATTCTAAGCCCAACTTGTTCTCTCATTTCTCTATTCTCTTTGAGGTAGGAAACTAATTCTATTCTGAAGGAATCTCCAAGATGCAACATTTGATCTTTATATCTTATAAAAGGGATGGCTAACATTTTCTGTAATAGCGTAGCTAAAATGAAGGCTTAAATTATAATTTCACAGCTAGATTTACTTCACCATCATCAAAGTAAACAAGGAAAACCTCCCTTTCAGACCAAAGGGAGAAAAAGTTTTAAAGTAAGGATATAGCTTTCCTCATGGGCATTGTCTGCCTCAACATAAACCACTATATAACATGCCTGTGACTATAGACTTCTAGTTTAGGCCACCAAAGATTAGAGATGGGACTTGAGCACCCCCTTGATTTGCATCCTCTGGTCTGCTTTAACAAAAACCAGGAGGAAAAAAGCTAGGCATCAGAAGCAATGTAAAGATAGGTGGCAGGACTATTAAGTGTAGCTCTGTACAGTGATTTGCCATCAAGGAGACCCAACAGGCCAGTCCACTGCAGTAGCTTTCAATGTGTTAAGCCTGGGCTTCAGCAGAAGTCAGCTTGTGATGAGCCCTGGCAGCTCTGCCAGCCAAGAGTTGGATCACTGGAAATGGACCTGCCCTGGAGTTGAAGGATGACCAGGTCAGAGCCACAGATCTTACTGGCTCCAAGCTGAAAAGCCCTTCACCCAGCCCAGCTTCCAAAGTGACTACTGCAGCTGAGAAAATGGCCAAGTAGGGTCAGTAACATTTCAGGCAGAACTATAAACTTCCTGTTAGAGATGCTACCTCCTTTACCTGGCCAGCTCTCCTCCCAGGCCAGCTAAGTAATGGAAGTCAACATGGTGCCTTCCCCAAGGAGGTTCACACCTCCCTTAGGATGTACCCTATGAAGAGATAGATTAAGTCTGGGCCTCATAATTTACAAGGCTTTAAAGCCCACCAGATTATTATCAGGCCCCTTCTGTCAGGTTCTATTGGCCTCTCAATCAGAAAACTTAATTGTAGCTCAGATAGCACCTTTCTTACGTTCTCTAGTTACAACTCTGTCCTTTGTATCTAGCCACTTGAGCCTCATTCCTTTGTAACCACAGCCTCTACTCTACCAACAATGGCTCTACCCCCAACCTGTGTGTACTGATGGTCCTCTCCCCCACTTAATGTTGTACGATTGTTCAGAATTTCTCTACAGACAAACTCCACTACCTGCAAAAGTTAAGTGGCCTTTCTCTCAGTCTTGCCTGGAATCAGCTTTAAACCGCGTCCATCAAACTGTCTTCACAAGGGTTCAGAGACCCCCCTCCATTTCCTCTCCTCTATTGCCTGGTTAATGCTACTCTTAAAATCACTGGTTACTATTCTCACCCTGTCTTCTATGCTACAGTGAATGTTTAAGTGTTTACAGCAGGTTATAATGGAACAAACAAAGGCCTTCAGCAACCAGATGGTCAACCAAATGCTGCTACAGGGATATACTCGGCTCCCCACCCAGGAGACAGCAGCTTGAGACATCACCCCATGCCAGCGAAGAGTACCTCATTGCCCCATGTCAGCAGGAAGTAGCTCTAAAGACAGATCATCGTCCCTCTACCCCTCCTGGACTTTGGGGACTAATGTAATCCCATACAACTTCTGCTTTATAAAAAACAAAAGAGGGGAATGTTAGGAAAATGGCGCAGTTTTATCTATGGCGCGATCTACACCCTGATTTACATCCTAGGCCCTGGCTCCTGCTGCCATTGCTAAAAGCCAGGTAGCCACATGGCCCAACCTCTGTTGTCAGCTCCACCCCCATCCTAATGGGATTTGCTGCTCCTGCTTCCCTTCCCGCCCTCCAGCAAAGTTTTAAAAGGACCTGTTCCTGAACACACGGCTCTCTTGTCTCTTCTCTCCTGCTCTCTTGGCTTCTCTTCTCTCCTGCTCACTCTCTCTAGCCTCCTCTTCTTTCTCACTCCCCTCTCTCCTCTCTCCTCTTTCTCTCTTACTCTCCTTTTCCTTCTTCGACCCTTCCCTCCAGTCTGCTGGGTTTTCACCAATAAACCCTTTCCCTTAAAAAAAAAAAGTACCTATAACCTAAGGAGAGACACTTGACCAACAGCTTTCCATACATTTCATTCTGAAACACTTACTAGGTTGGTATTACTATTCTCACTGTGCATATGAGAAACGGTCCCAGAAAGATCAACTATTTCATTTAAGTGACCACAGCTAGTAAAGGGCAGAAGCAGGACTTTGTAGGTTCTGTGACACCTTTAACTAATACAAGGAACCCTAACTAGCCCGTGACCCTGGGCACGTCACTTATCTCTGGGCCCAGTTTCCTTCATCAAATGAAGAAGATGGTTTCTAAGATGTGGTGCAGGGCTGGGGAATGTCTTGCCAGTGGGTCATATAAGGCCCTTGAGATCATCTGGTCTGACCCCACCAAGGCAATTGCAGGTGGGAACTGAAATTCAATCAGTCTACAGCAGGCTGATTTTTAAGTTAATAATTTTGTATGGCTCACAAACAGTGTTGTAAATAGCTGGTCCTTGGCAGAAAAAAAGGTACCCCATCCCTCTTTAGGAAGACAGAAAATTCTGGGCTCAAATCCAGGTGATAACACTAATTGGCCATGAGATCATGTGCAAGGTACTTGACTTCTCTGAGCTTATTTTCCCCAAGGATAACATAACTGCCTTAGGGGACTGGTATGAAGACTAAAGGACGTTTATATGTATACACACATATACACATACATATATTTTATATATTTACACATACATATATACATATAAACACACATACACATAAAGTCCCTAGCCCAAATGAGGCTATGTGTTAAAAAGTCAAACTGGTTTTATGGAAAGTTTGAAACATAAACATAACTATCTATTACATAAAGTTGTTAAAATTATCTTTCTGTTATTTGTAGCATCTATCGTGGTTATTTATGCTTTTCTTCTTGTTTAGTGGCACCATGTATGCTAGTTAAGTTACTGCACTTTAGTTCTAAATCCACTTTTTTCACAAATTGATTTATTGAGATACGACTGATATATAAAAAATTGCATATACTTAACGAATACAGTTTGATGAGTTTGGATATATGCATACACCTTGAAACCATCACCACAAAGTAATAAACGTGTTCATTAATACCAAAAGTTTCCTTGTGCCCCTCTTTATTTTTATTTTAAAGATATTTATATATTTATTTGAAAGGCAGAGTTATAGAGAGAGGGAGAGAAAAAGAGATCTTTCAGTTACGGTTCATTCCCCAAATGGTTACAACAGCTGGGGCCAGGCCAGGCTGAAGCCAGGAGTCTGTAACTCCATCCAGGTCTCCTAAAGGGGTGGCAGGGGCTCAAGTAACTTGGGTCATTTTCTGTTGCTTTCCCAGGCACATTAGCAGGGATCTGGATCAGAAGCCGAGCAGCTGGGACTTGAACTGGCATCCATATGGGATTTCCATGTTGCAGGCAGTGGCATAACCACTGTGCCACTGTGGGCCCCCTTTTTTCCACACGTGAATTCATTTTTCACTGATTTTATAATTCAGACAGGATTTTTATTCATTTCACCTGAAAATCATGGTATCTTTTATGGTGCTATAAATTTTTCGTATTTATAATTTCAAATGTCTGAATAACATTCTAAAACTCACTTTATGATTCTGTCCTAACTTTTGAGTCATTCCATTTTTCTTTTATTGTTTTGCTAAATTAAATAATACTGTGATAAACATTTTTGTTTTTACATACATATTATAATTTTATGGGTTATTTCTTTAGGATAAATTCCTGGGGATATAATATCTGGAATTAAAAAAGTAAACATTTATATGAACACATGATGTATTGTCAAATTTCTGTCCAAATGGTTGCATTAATTTACATGCTAGGTAATGTGAGATCAAACCACTTTCAGTGTAAACTTTAGGGGAATTTCAAAAAACTATAGCTCACTTTATATAAAATGTATTCCCTCCCTTTTTAAAATAAAGTTTATTTATTTCTCTTCTACTTGAAAGAGAGGGTGGGGGGAAGGAAGGGAGGGGGAAGAGAGGGAGGGAGGGGGAGACAGAGAGAATCTTCTATCCACAGGTTCACTCTCCAAATGCCCACAACACACAGGGCTAGGTCAGGCTGCAGCTGGGATTTGGGAACTCAATCCATCACTTGCTTCCTCCTCCAGGACACATCAACAGGAAGCTGGAATTGGGAGCAGAGCTGGGACTTGAAGCCAGGCCCTTCAGTATGGGATTCAGGCATCTTAATTGTTATGCCAAACACCTGCCCCTGGCTGCCTTCCTTTTCCCTTCAAAGTTTGACCAATATAAGCAAAGATGTGCTGATCAACAGGAAACCAGAAATGTTTCTATCTTGTACTAAAAATGGAGATTAATGATCTACCTAAAATAGACATCAGGTGTCAGAGGTCAGTACAAGTGCTTCACTTTAAGGACAAGGAAACTTCAGAGAGGGGAAGGGACTTGCTTAAGGTTACTCAGTGGCAGAGGCAAAGCTGGATCATAAGTTGTGGATTTTGTATCTTAATATTTTACATACACTCCATCCTACTCAATGAGTAAAGGAAAACAAAACCAGCCACTCCAATGTGAGGTCAAACAAAGTCTCCGCTTCCTACCTGAAAAGGATGTGAAGATAAGAACCAAGGCCAGTTAAAATATGCCACCATGCATGGAACTGGGTGGTAACACCTATGATAGGGGGCACCTTCTTTCGAAAATTCCTGTGTGGAAAGGGGGAAAAATCACCATATTAAATTTTAAAAATATTTAGTAAATATAGAACACTCTGAAGTAGCATTCTCAAATATGGCTAGTATTTAATTTCCTTAGTCCACCATGTTGTTTTCCATGGTGTATGTTGCTGAATAACATTCCTGGCCAAAACTTCTTGAGCAAATGACTCTTGAGATAAAAAAAAAAAATGTGTGAAACATCATACAGTTTATCACCGTCTTGGAGATTTTTAATGCGTATTAACAGATTAAAGGCTTTGAAAAACCCTACCAAAACCAAAATATCTTCCATTTACTTTCAGGTGACTAATATATGGATTTTTTCAAGTAATTCTTATTAATACTTCATGGAATAAGTGTTTTTGGAACATATTTTGGAAAACAGAAGTGTAGTCAGCTATACACTTAATAAAACTAGCTCTATGCTTTTCCTGTATCCTACATACAACCATCACCTCTCACAGCACCATATAGTTCACAAAATTGTTTTATACCTGTCATTTCACGTCACAGTCAGTGATTATTTGGGAAGGCTATTAATTTTACTTTACAGATTAGGAACCTAAAATTCAGAGAAAACATAATTATATGAGTTTCCCAGGTCAATGAGCTAGTGGCACAGCTGGGTCTCAAATTCTGGATCTTCCATGTATTAGAGGAGAAAAACCATGTGAAACTTCTCTAGACATCCGCATGAATTTCTGAGATGACTTCCACCTCCAAGAGCCTACTTTGCTTCTCAGTGGTTCCTTCCCAGTGGATGATGCCCTCCCTCAGCAGATGGAAAGCTTCATGGTGTTCTGCTCACTTCTCATTCAGAACCACTCACCTGGAACTCAGTTTTTTAAGCAGGATACATTGCTTGCTTGTCCACATTTAAGGTCTACATTTACTTATTTAACTTTTTACAATGAAGAATTTCAAGCATTCAAAAGTAGATAAAATAATAAAGTACTAATTATCCAACTTCAACAACTTACCAACCTATGATCCATCTATGGCATCTAAACTCTTATCTACTTCTCTCTCCCATTTTACTTTGAAGCAAATACCATATATTATAACATTTTTATCGCTAAATATTTCGCTATGTAATTCCAAAAATTAAAACCTCTTTTTTAAATTTTTTATTTATTTGACAGATAGTTAGACAGTGAGAGAGACAGAGAGAAAGGTCTTCCTTCCGTTGGTTCACTCCCCAAATGGCCACCATGGCCAGCGCTGCGTGGATCTGAAGCCAGGTGTTTCTTCCTGGTCTCCCACGCAGGTGCAGGGGCCCAAGCATCTGGGCCATCCTCCACTGCCCTCCCGGGCCACAGCAGAGAGCTGGACTGGAAGAGGAGCAACCGGGACTAGAACCAGGCGCCCATATGGGATGCCGGTGCCACAGGTGGAGGATTAACCAAGTGAGCCATGGCGCCAGCCCTAAAACCTCTTTAAAACATAACCACATACCATTTACATCTAAAAATATTAACAATAACCCCTTAATATCAAATAAGAAATTACTGAGCAAAAATCCAAGTTTTTCTTTTTCTTTTTTTTTTCTTTTTCTTTTTCTTTTTTTTTTTTTTTTGACAGGCAGAGGTAGACAGTCAGAGAGAGAGACAGAAAGGTCTTCCTTCCATTGGTTCACCCCCCAAAATGGCTGCTATGGCCGGCGTGCTGTGCCGATCCGAAGCCAGGAGCCAGGTACTTCCTCCTGGTCTCCCATGTGGGTGCAGGGCCCAAGTCCTCCACTGCCTTCCCAGGCCACAGCAGAGAGCTGGACTGGAAGAGGAGCAACCGGGACAGAATCTGGTGCCCCAACCAGGACTAGAACCCAGGGTGCTGGCGCCGCAGGTAGAGGATTAGCCTAGTGAGCCATGGCGCCAGCCCAAGTTTCTTTTAAGATTTTGTTTTACAACTGGTTTGTTTGAATCAGGATCCAAGGAAGGCCAGTGGATTGCACTTGGTTAATCCATCTCTTAGACCTCTTAATCTATGTCGTCCTCTATGTGTTTCCATCACCCCCTATTCTGCAATTCATTTGCTGAAGAGATCAGGACACGTATCTTGTATACTTCTTAGTCTAAACATTGCTAACTGTTGTGTTACTCATTATATTTCTCTGTGTTTGTGCAAACTATTAGGTCACAGAATCTGCAGCTGGAATGACTCACTAGTTTAATGTATTTAACAAGACTTTATGAAAATTAAGGCCTAGAGAGATAATATGTTATGATTGTCTTAGACATGGTTGTAAGATTTAAATTCTTGACAATACATAATTGCTGATAAGAAAAGGAACGCTTACCTTTCTTAGAAAATAACATTAAGCATGTAACAGCATAGATTTATATTCATGTTGTTTCATATGCTTATTACAAATCATCTCTAATTATTCAAGAAAGTAGATGAAGTAGGTTGCAAAGATGTACTCAAAATTTGATTAGCTATCTAAGTCCTATGAAGTATATACACAAAAACCCAAGCCCTGTGGACATGATGAGGTATTCTCCAAACTTTTAGGGAGTTTAAATGGGTACTCCTACATCTCAACCTTATTGAACTGCATACAGCTGCTATATGTCAACAATGGTAAAAGTTCATCTCAGGGCATTATTATTTCTACATGCCTATGAAACTCTCTGCTTAACAGAATGTTTCTAAAAATATTTCTCAAGAAATGAAAAATTTCATCTTACCTCAGTGAAACACAAAAGATGTTATCTATATTCCATAATAAAAATCCAAACAAAAATACACCCAAAGAGGTATAACCCAGTCCTCTAAGCCATGGATAAACCCTGTGGGGCAAAAAAGAAAACAGAAGGAAAATTTTCTTAAGTCATGTCATAGTCAAAGCTTGAAGTTAACACTTTTATGAGAAGGAAAGTTTTTATTAGTATTAAAATGAAACCTATCCTTTAAATTCTCTAATAGATTTGCCTACTATATTTAGCCATTAAAAGGCACTGGGCCACCAAGACTTTGCAAAGTATATAAGGAAGGCAACTGAAAGTGTCCAATAACTCCTTCAGGAAGAGGAGACATGGAACTGATGAATTAGAATTAGCACAGAGTCACATACTCTGTGTCAGGTATGTATTACACAAACACACACACACACTCATTAACTAAATCAGTAATACTAGCTTAATTCAGAAAGTTCAGGGAAAAGACTTATTATTAAGTGAAAAAACTAGAATTAAAATTTTTGCACTAAAACAAGCTTATCTTTTATTATTTATAAAAAATTTTCATTTGAGAGACAGAGAAAGCAAGACAGATAATGAGGAAGAGCTTGAATCTGCTGGTTCCCCCCTCCCCTTCCCCAATGCCTGCAATGGCTATGGTTGGTGGGGGCTAAAGCCAGGAGATGCGAGCTCAATCCAGGTCTCCCATATGGGTGTCAGGAACCCAACTACTTACGTCACCACCCTGCCTCCCAGGGGCTGCCTTAGTAAGAAGCTGTTATCAGAGGCCCAAGTCCTGATTGAACCTAGGCACTCCAATGTGGGACATCCTAACTGGAGGTTTCACTGCTAGGCTAAATGCCTGCCCCTAAACTTATCTTTTAATTCCATTTCCATGAACTTTGTGATGTACCCTTGTATATATTGAGTACTTGCGTGTGCCAGACACTGTTCTAAGCACTAGCAGCGAATAAAGAAAAAGTACTTGCTCCCAAGGAATCTGCAGTATAGTTGGGGGAAATAAACAAGTAAATATATAACTGGTTATGAATGCCTTGAGGAAAAATAAGAGCTGCTAAGGGGAGAATGATATGGAGATATTTGGATGGGGTAGGCATACACACACACCCTGGAACACTTTAAGTAGTCCTGTGAGGCAGCTATTATTCTTTCCACTTTGCTGATAAAGAAACTGAAGTTTGGTTAGTTACCCAAAATAGTAAAAGCAGCTTATACATATTTTATAGTTTCAACGAGGTATAATAAACTTACATTAAACTGTATATACTATTTAAAGTGTGTATCAGTATACATCCATGGAACCACCATTACAATCATAATAACATTATCAATCACTTTCAAAAGCATAGTTTACATTTTTTAGAATGGAATAAACAAAATCATACCACATATATTCTTTACCTTATGGCCTCTTCCACTTGACATAATTAGTTTTGAGATTCACCCATGTTATGTAAATCAATACTTTCTTTCCTTTTACTGCTTAGGAAATAGCACAATTTGTTTATCTGTCCAAATCCTGGTGAATATTTGTGTTGTTTCCAGTTTTTGACCATTTACTATTTACAAATAAAACAGCTATGAATAATCATAACTAAGACTTGGTATGAACATAGGGCTTCATTTCTCTTGGGTAAAAAGCTAGGAGAGGAGTGGCTGGGCTGTACAACAGGTAATGTTTACATTTTCAAGAAACCGCTGAGCTACTTTCCTACAAGACTGCACCATTTCACATTACTACCAGCACATGAATGCTTCATTTGTTCCCTGTCCTTGCCAACATTTGGTACGATGTTGGTCCTTTCATTTTAGTGGTATGTAGCGGCATCTCACTGTGATTTTAATGTGCACCCAATGACTAATGTTATTGGGCATCTTTTCACGTACTTGTTTGCCATCCATATATCTTCTTTGATAGTATTGTTTGCCTTCTTATTGAGTTGTAAGAGTTCTTTATATACTGTATATTTAAGTTCTTCATTTTATATTTATATACATATACATTGCAAATATATTCTCAAAGTCTGATTTGTCTTTCATTTTGTGAACATAGTCTTTTGAAGAACAAAAGTTTGTAGTTCTGTTGAAGTTCAATTTATTTTTCTTTACAGTTTGTGTTTTGTGTCCTAGTTAGTGAATTTTTACTTAACCAAAAAAAGCATTAACTGAGATATGAAGCTGTTATTGAAGATTTCTATGTTTTCTTCTAGAAGTTTCGTAATTTTAGCTTTTACACTTGGGGATGTAATTCACTCCTATTAAATTTTTATAGTGGTATAAGGTTGAAGTTCACTTTTTTAATGAGAATATTCAGTTGTTCCAGCACAATTTGTTGAAAAGATGATCTTTTCCTCACAGGATTATTTTGGTGTGTTTGTTGAAAATCAGATCAGTATGGGTGTGAGGTCTATTTTTGGATGTTCTATTGATCTAAATTTATCTTTACCACCAATACATTGTCTTGAAGCATAGAGGATATCAAATAAGTCCTCTAACTTTGTTACTGTTTTTCAAAACTATTTTGCCTATTCTAGATCCACTGTATCCTCACAAAAATGTCAAAATCAGTTTCTTAATTTTTATCAAAAAAGCCAGCTGAGATTTTGATTGTGATTGGAACCTACAGATCAATCTGGGAAAACTGATAACAATACTGATTTTTATATTTCATAACATGGTGTATCTCTCCATCTATTTAGATCTTTATCTCAGGAAAAACAGCACATTGTAGTTTTCCATGTACAGATCTTATTATTTGCTAATTTAATCCCCAAATATTTAATGTTTTTTGATGTTACTGTAAATTGTTTTTAAAGTCTCACTTTTTAATTAGTCACTGCTAGTCCATAGGAATGATTTTTTATTTTTATTTATTTTTTAAAGATTTATTTATTTGAGAGGTAGAGTTACAGACAGTGAGAGAGAGAGGTAGAGGTAGAGGTAGAGAGAGAGAGAATCTTCCATCTGCTGATTCTAAATAACTGCAACAGCCAAAGCCAGGCCAATCCAAAGCCAGGAGCCAGGAGCTTCTTCTGGTCTCCCACATGTGTGCAGGGGCCCAAGCATTTTGGGCCATCTTCTACTGCTTTCCCAGGTGCATTAGCAGGGAGCTGGAGTAGAAGTGGAGCAGCTGGGCCTTGAACTGGTACCCACAGGGATGCTGGCACCGCAGGCAGAGGCTTAACCTACTGTGTCACAGCACTGGTCCCAGGAATGATTTTTTTAATATTGCCTAGAATTCTGCAATGCTAACTCTCACTATTGCTTCTAGTATATTCTTTTGCACATATTCTGAATATTTTCTATATATGTAATCATAGAATATGCTAATACCACATTGGATAGACTTCCATCAATAAAATGATAAGTATAAACAGTGATAGTACAGATCCTAGTTCATTCTTGATTTTAAAGGAAAGTTTTTAAAAAAACATGTCATGTGGCTGGCATTGTATTATTGGGTAAAGCTGCTACCTGCAACACCAGCTTCCCATGTGGGCACCGATTATAGACCCGGCTGCTCCACTTCCAATCCAGCTCCCTGCTAATACACCTGGGAAAAGCAGCAGACGATGGCCCTGGTGCATGGGCCCTTGCACCCACATGGAAGACTTGGAAGAAGCTCCAGGCTCCTGGCTTTGGCCTGGCCCAGCCCTGACCATTGTAGCCATTTGGGGAGTGAACTAGCAGATGAAAGATCCTTTTCTGTCTTTCCTTCTCTCTGTAACCATGCCTTTCAAATAAATAAACAAATAAATCTTTAAAACCATATCATGACTATGTATATTATATTCTGTAGAGTTTGTAGGTAAAGTTCTCTTCAGAAGAAGGGGTTTAACCTAGTAACTAAAATGCTTCCCTCCCATATCAGAACACCTGGGCTTGATACCTGGCTCTGACTCTTGACTCCAGCTGTCTGCTAAAGCAGACTCTAGGAGGCAGTGGTGATGGCTCAAGTGATTCGGTTCTTGCCTCCCGTGTGGAAGGCCATGATTGTGTTCCAGGGCCCTGGCTCTACACAGCCACAGTCACTGCAGGCATGTGGGGAATAAAACAGTGGATGGGAGCTCTCTTAATCTATCTCTGCCTCCAAGTAAATTAACAAGAAAAAAACATTTTAAGTTCTCTCCTACTACTAGTTTGTAAAGGATTTTGATTTTTTTAAAAAAGATTTATTTATTTATTTGAAAGAATTACACAGAGAGAAGAAGGGAGGGAGGGAGGGAGGGAGGGAGGGAGGGAAGTACAGAGGGAGAAGAGGGAGAGAGAGAATCTTCCATCTGCTAGTTCACTCCCCAGATGGTCCCAATAGCCAGGGCTGGGCCAGGCTGAAGCCAGGAGCCAGGAGCTTCATCTGGATCTCCTATGTGGGTGGCAGGGGCCCAAGTACTTGGGCCATCTTCTACTGCTTTCCTCAGGTGCTTTAGCAGGGAGGCTAGACCCGAGGTGGAGCAGCCAGGACTTGAACCAGCACTCAACAGGAAATGGCTTTATCTACTATGCAACAACACCAGCCCCAAGAATTCTGATTTTATTTCTTTAGATCACATATAGGTGTTGTATTCTACAGGATTCTTTCTCTAAATTTATTGCTATCATTATGTAATTTTAAAAAATATGGTAAATGGCAACAACAGATTTTTATGGAATTTTTTGATTAATTTAAAAATTACCAGGAAAGCACAAACCTGGCAATGTACATAAACGGCACAATGCACTGTCTGATGAAGATCCTCAAGGGAAGAGCTTAAAGAGGGTCATAGTCTGGCTTCAGCTTTTCAGAGTTTATCACAACCTCCATTTGGGGAATATAAGAATAAGTCCCAGGAAAGCCAGGACTCAAAACAATGCAGGCATCTGGGGGATGACAGTGTGGGCCAGGTGCTGAGATGGGAGGGGGTGCCATCTGCTTTCTGCTACTAAACTTACTTACCATGGCAAAATCTTCAGCTTTCAGAAGTAGGTCAAAGCAAAATTCTTCTGTGGGGTGAAATGAATGTCTTTGGTTATCCAGGTAGCAGAGCACGGAGGAGAGAGCAAGAACATCAGCACATGGTCCACGCAAACCAAGCACAGATAAGACTCTGGGG